TGGGCACGGATGCGTTCGCTTCCACGTTTTGTATCCTCTCTTTACCCGAAGACTGGGTGCGTGTGGTCGCTGTCTCTGATGAGCCGTCCAGCGGCTCTGAGTGTGTCGTCTGTGGCCGCGCCGGACTTGGGGTGTTGGAGGCTCTCGCCAACCGACGCAACAAATCCTGTGAGTCATGCCGCCGATGTGGAACGCGCTTTGATGGGATTCTTTCTGCAGTGGCAACCACTTCGCGATCTACCTCAGCTATGCTCTCAGTGCTCTTATACATCGCAGAGGGCATGTCTTCCTTTCTCACACCCATTACCGGCTGCGACTTGCCGATTGACTGCCATGACTGTGTGCGCATACGCAGCTTTTTCTGGGGCGGCGGAGACTCCTGCACAACTGGTTCGGCATTCGATGCGCCATGGCTTGCACTCTCGGCTTTCCGCCCAAACGAAGACCGTCGGCGCGCTGGCTCGGGCGAGCCCGACCGTTCCTTTGAACTCTCCATCTCGCGCCGCCGTATGTCGTCTAGCACGGTACTTCTGGGGATGTAGGGCGTAGATGCAATCATGGAAGCCTCGTTGAGTTCAAAGGTGAGGTCCCACTCCTCGGACTCGGCGCGCGGAGTGCCGACCATGGATGTCTTATGTGAGAGCGGGCTGTCCTCGACTGAGCGGTGTGGCAGGTTCGCGTTGTTGCCGTAGTATTGATCGTTTGTCCCATCTTCTTCTGGGGCTGTGGGTGTCTGTTGCTGCTGATCCTCGTCGTAGGCGATGGCCCGCATCCAGTGCCTGTTGCTCCTGCCCTTCCTGCCCCATGTCGCCGGCACATGTATTGCTGGATTACTGCTCGTGCTTCCGCTGCTGCTGGGCGGGCGGTCTAGGCCAACATTTGCGCTCGCCGCTGCTGTTGCTGCCGCGTTGTTTCTCTCAAGGTTCTCCAGGGTCAAGCCCACGCGCGGATGTGCGCGCGCCTTTGTAAAGGGCTGGGGCCGAGCACTGGCGGCCTGGCTCAGTCGTCGTCTGTCGCGCTCGTTGCGTATCATGAGCTTATCAAAATCGTCTTCGGCGTCATTTTCGAGCTCGCTCAGTCCAGAGACGACAGAGTCTGCATCGTGCAAGTCGTGTCGGTCGTGGTTTCCGGTATCCATGGTGCCGAGTCCATTGGTCCTGGTGGTGGTTGTGGTGGTGGTAGCTAATGTGGGTCTCTGGAGGTGTGCGTAGCGTGACTTCACAGCGGTGGCCGACGGCGGGGAAATGGGGTGGAGGGGCTGGCGCGTAGTCATTGCCGGGCGGTGGGCTGACTGCGATTTCTGCGCATAATACTGAGGGCTGTGCGAGGATCCGGGGGTTGGTCTGCGTGGCTCCAAGATATATTTCGAGTAATGAGGGCGGTAAGCGGTCTAGCTTTGTGCATGTGTTGTCGCATCGCGCACGCGTCGTGGCTCGCTACGTAGGAGCGTGCGCCACGGATTGACGCAGGGATCAGGTCACCCGGTATACTAGTACATACACACGTATAGGTATATGTTAATATGCGTTTGTCTATATCATGGCTCAACATTATAATTCGCCTAACCATCGGGAGCCATCATGGCTCTTGCTTGTCAATGGCCTCCATCCTCCTCTTTACCATGTCGGCGTCACCGTTGCCTTTCTCGTCCCTCCATGCACGAAACGCCTCCTCTCGCATCACCTTTCGCGGTGCTCGCTTGCCAGTGAACAGCTCGAACTGAGCAAAAGCTTGCTCGGGTATGAAGTCTAGCCCATCCATGTACGTCCAAAGCTTGTTTGTTGCATCTCGCACCTGTTGCTTCAGCGGAGTGTTGAGCGACTTATACGCCGTCTCCATGACAATCCCACCCGTACGGCTCTCCATCCACTGCTCGGGAAGAGTGAACTGTGCTGCCGGCCCGCCGTCTATCGGGTCGGTGGGTATGCAGGAAACGATGATCGTTGGCTGGCGAAGTGTCTCTGGCCATGTGTCGTCACGTGACTCTAGAATCTTGAAGTTTGGCAGATTCTGAGGCGTGATCGACGACACACTGGCTGTTTCTGTTGAGCTTGAAACAAGACGCGAAAAGTGCGCGACAAGGCTCTTGGCCTTCTCGAGTGTCCGATTGAAGATGACAATGTTCCTCACCCCCATCTGCAGCAGCGCGTAGACGGCTGCCCTGGCCATGCCACCCGCCCCGATGATAAGACCACACGACAGCGGCCGTACCGCGTTCGCAGGAGACAGACCCCTACGCACGCAGGAGCGGATTCCAATCCACTCGGAATTATCTCCGTACAGAGCCTGAATAGGCCCAGACTGGTTGCGTTCCTGGAAGATTTCCAGTTCGCTTGGGAGACTGCCATCCTGGTTACGCCGACGCACGGGTATTACTGTATTCACAGCACCAATCGCGCGAGCATGCTGGCTCATCGAATCCACTAGTGCAATCACCTCCATCTTGAATGGCTGGATCACGATGGAACCACCAAAGTTTGGCTGGCGTACTAATTCCTTGAGACTGTTGAGCGAGGGGCTCTCAATGGGAATGAATTCATGGGGCATTCCACATGCCCGGTACGCAAGATTGTGCATTGCCGGTGAAACACTGTATCCCAATCGCTTACCAATAATGTAAATCTGCATTGGGTCAAGCGTAAACGAGCTATACAAAGCTTGGGTAACTTCTCGCGCTGTCACCCGAGAGTCGTTAGTGTGATGCGCCACTCGCCCTGTCGTATCTGTCTTCTCCGTTTCTGAAGGTGGCACAACGGGTGTCAAGTGCTTGTTAAAACAGACGGAGCGCCGACCTGCTCTTCCTGTATTGTAGCAGATCAGAGGCACTTGGGCATCATGCTTTGCCATTTTTGAGCTGAAACTGCGAACTGAAATGTCATCATCAATGGAATAGGCTGGCCGAGTAAATCGAACAGCAGAGCAACCAATACGCACAGCCATTTCGTATTGCACAACCCAGAAATTATCCTCCCATGGCGTGTCCGCATGGAGGTGGCCAATGATCTTGGTTGTGCCTCGAGAGGAAATCAAATCTGTGAGCGTTGCTGCATCTAGCGACAAATCGACGGTCGCATACTCGGGCGCCATTCTCAATCCATGGCGTACATGTTCCAGGTAAAGTGTCCGATGGCCGTCCGTGGGAAATGTTGGAAGTATGTGATAAATAATGGGCACTACTGTACTTCTCCGTACCTTGGATATGCAGGCACTGACCTCATCCAGAGCATCTGCTATGATGCGTGGTTGGCTAAGATCAAATATGATTTCAAATGCATCTGATCCAACTTCCAGACGTTGTACATCTGCATCTTCAGCCAGGATGTCTTCTAGCGGTACCTGAACGGCACAAGTGTAGTTGCGGAGCTCCGTCGCCACGTCCGATAGCGGATATCCAGGTTCCAACGGTGGGATTGATAGCCCGACTGAGCCACCCGAGTTTTCGGGATTCGTGACTATCGACAGGAATTTAAGAAATGTTCGTTGGGCTCGTTTCAGCGTGAGAAATGCGGGGGCCACCGGTTGATCGGCAGCAGTGTCAGCGCTGGTGACTTTGACCTCGGAAATGTTATAAAACTCGTAGTTAGAGCACCGTCGAAGGATGGGCGCAGTTAACGCCAGCATGTCTTTCAGTCTCTTCAGATCGGGCCCTCCCAGATAGCTGTGCAGACTGGAGAGGTCACGCTGTACGTGTACTACGGGGTGCGTGTGAGCAAAGTCCTGTATCAACGACTGTCCATTTCTTTCCAACGAGAGTCCATTGCAGACAATGATTGCACCTTGATCATGTTCATCGAGAATGCTACGCAGGAGCTCTTCTTGCCGTAAATTAAAGTTGGCAACTCCGAACTGCTTACGGTACTTGGCAGTAGAGAAGCCTGTCGTCTCTTGAAACATGTCTTCTACGTCAAGTACCCGCCTCCGGCATGCTATCGAAGCAATGACGGCCAAGGTGGACTTTCCAGTCCCAGGCATACCAAGTAGCACGATCGAGGCATCTACTCTAAACATGCGACGATGAGGGCCTGCTGGGGGCCTGGGGGCGGGGGTGAGGCGAGGAGTAGATCGCGCACTTGCAATAGTCGAGGCTGTTCGTTTGTCAGCACGCAACCAACCATACAGGTACATCCTTACGTACTTGCGCCATCTGGGCTGACCTTGCGCCTCTGGGGAAGTACTGTGGAGTCTGATGTTGGTGTTTCGCGCGTCACCGAATTGCTATAGGAGCGGTAGCTATCAGCAGCTCCGCCGCTCTCTTCCTCCAAAGAAGCAAAGGCGCGTTTGGTCCCTATCGCTGCGGAGGCCATGATGGCGGCGCCGGCCTGGCTGAGAGTACAGAGGCGTCAAGGGTTCAAGTCTCGGATGCTTTATTTCTCCGGTGGTTCTTCAAGTAGCCGTGCGGCGGAATACAGCAGGTGATATGGGTAGACTGTGGAGCCGAAAGTGGTTGGGACGACTCAAGGTATGCATGGTATGATGTATCATGAGAAGGAGGGGCAGGACAGCTGTTAATCGTCCGCCGTCAACCTGGTAAGCGATTGAGAACGGCAGAGCGCGGAAAAATGGACGGCAGCTGGTTTTACGCAAAGACATATCACAATGGTGGTGGTGGGCCGATGGATACGGGGTAGCAGCAGTCAGGGCAATGGCCGGCTGAATGCGCCACCGGATAAGCCTTTTTCCCCTCACTTGCGTGTCGTGCCGAACTCGCGTAGACTCTTGACGTCTTGCGCTCCTGTTATGCGCGTGGTATACACTTACACTATCTAACAGTCCCGGCCCACCCTCCGCAATCCATGATACACCCCGGATCATCTGGTCGCTGAGCTCCGTAGCGTCCGTGGACCAACCAGACTGCTCCGCCTCTCTTTCTCGCTGCCGAGGCTTATTACGTGGACTTCTTTGGGTTACTACATGACGCCCTGCATCCAGCTATGCACACGCACCATTGAGCATCCCGTTTTGTGATCAAAATATATTGCGAATCCGTTCGCATCGGGCTCATGCCTGCACAAAGCCAGGCAAAGCGCCAGTCCGCACCTCTATCCGAAGAGAAGCCTGCCAAACGCACTCGTGTGTCACGAGCATGCGATCAATGTCGCGTTGCACGTGAGAAGTGTGATGGCCTCCAACCAACTTGCTCTACCTGCTCAGGGACTACCAGGAAATGCTCCTACACGGCAAACCCCAAGAAGAGAGGCATCCAACCAGGCTACATTCGCACCCTGGAGTTGGCACTTGCATGGCTCTTCCAGCACAATCTCGACAACGAATCTGCCCTCAAAGAGAAGCTAGCGCAGGAGGGTGCTTCGTCATTACTCCTCAGCCGTGACTCAAAGGAGTCGAACAAGCTCCACAGGCGATGGCGCAAATCAAAGTTTTACATCGACGTTGATAAGCAGCTATCTGGAGGAGAGCCTTCAAGACATGAACAAGCTACCTCGCCCGGTTCTTTTAGCAGCGACGAGGATTCGGATATCGAGGAGCCTTTGAAAAAAAAGACCAGCCGTAGCCAAGCAAGTAACATTGAGTTCCAGCGCAGTGTTGGGCCTCCAGGTGTTCCACAGATCGCAGCATCATCACATAAACAGCCGGCCAGCACCTGTGCTCCAGAAACAATCCCGCAGGATAGCTGGCAACTGTTCGAAGTATACTTTACCAATGTACACTCTTGGCTTCCCATATGCGAGAAGCATGATACCCTGAAATCCGCCTATTCTTACCCTCTGCATAGCCATTCCAGCAATCCAGAGCAATCCATTTCCGGGGCGCACGCTGAAATGTGGAGTATCCTGGCAGTGGCATCACTATATGACGCAAACCTGAACAACTCCCTTGATCCATCATCGACAAGGCCTATGAAGCTTTACGAGACCGCAAGATCCATGATACCAAGCGAATCTGGACGTTTCGATGTTGGACATATCAGAGCTCTTCTGAATCTGGTCGTGTTCAACATCTCCCGAATGTTGACGGGTTCAGCCTGGCTACTCGTTGGTTACGCATCGAGAGCCCTGGAAAATGTAGACCAATCGACACTGATGGCAAACTCTAGACACAAGCATGTCTACTACGGGTGCTTCCTCCTCGACGGCATGCTAGCATTTCAGCTCAACCGCCGTCCTCACTTTAGAAAAGTCGATCTGAGGCACCTTGGTCTTATTGACGAAGACGGTTTGGAAGAGTGGCAGCCTTGGTCTGGGTTCAATGATCCTTCGCGCGCTAGTAGAATGACCCCATTGCTTTCTCTAAGTACGTTCAACAATGTCATTGAATTGGTTGACATACTCGTAAGCACTGGGCAGCAGTCAGCGCAAGACGCTTACCAAGAAGAGGTTGCTCAGCGTCTTGAGAGGTGGAAAACTTGTCTACCTCCAAAAGTGGATTCTTTGTTTTCTGGCAGCTCCTTTTCATTGCTCGCCCCGCCGACTGCTCTGCTACAAGCGACATATGACTGCGCTTGCTTTTTCTCCCATCCTTCAGATATAAGTTTACAACTGTTTCTTAAGGGACTTGATAAGTGTCAATTGGATATTGGTGTCCAGCGACTACCCGTACCGATCAAATGTCTGGTCATCACTATCAGCAGACTTGCTAGTCAACTCAATCTGCGTGAAACGACCCGCACTCAACTACAAAGGTTGCGAGAGGCCATGTTACCAACATCGCCTCAGTCGCATCATGATGATTCACAGACTCTCGAGAGCTTCATCATGCCGGCCAGACGATCTTCAACAGCCATAAATTTGTCAACGCCAGAATCACTCCAAACCGCGACTCCTGATGGCCGCAACATAGTCCAGTCAACAATAGACCCCCTCAATGACTTCTTCTCTGAGCCGTATCCAACAAATCCATCCCATGTAGCAGTGCCTAGTCCATCACAAACCGACCCACGACACCCTGAGCTTACCAGCGATCTCGAGACCTTTTTCGACGAATTGGCGTCACTTGATAGCACAACTCGGCCGGATAACCAGCCGCAATTCATGCAAAACCTTGGTTTCGGGCCGGGAGCAAGCATGGCAGATCTGTTTAGCGAATACATACCTATGCAGTCGTCGAACTTCCTAGTCCGCGACGACGTGGCGCCGACAAATCTTGACCAGTATGCCTTTTACGATGGGAGCTGAATAGACAGATATTGGAATGTCTCTACACAATTCATGTTACGCATTTAGCAGTTGCAGTTTCTTGAAGATCACCAGCTTTTGATTGTTGAGTTTTATCATTAAATTTGATCAACCTGCTAGTTTACAAAGCTATGAAATCTCAGAGGAAGACTATAGGTCGTACGATGCATGTCAGCATTTGACGCACCTTGGGAATAGGTCTTATGGTTCATTGCTATCCTTCTCTCGGGTTGCGAGACATTTCACCTTGCCATCTACAACGTCCAGGATCAAGCGTCGACCGGACGATATAACTCGTTCAGCACTTTCCTAGCCGATCGAAGACGTACATCCGTGTACTCCATTCGGCCGAGAATAAAGAGCTGGTCCAATACAAGGTGAGCAATAGCCATGCTCCATTTCCAATCACGCATGTGGAATCATTCCATACACCCAGAAGAGCAAATCTCACAAACAGCTTAAAAGCTGACTCAATTAAAAATATTGAGAACTAACGCCACTTATCCCGTACATGGTCCTCGGACATGTCCCCGAAGAAAACCAAAAAAAAAGGAAAAGCACCAAGAAAACGAAAAAGGGTTTCCCTCATCAGACGAACATGTGCGCCACGTTTCGAGAGCGGTGTTTCACAACCTCTCCCTATATCCAAATTTGTCAAGTCGATCTAGCGGATAGGAGACATACTTTATCGATAGTCCAAGATTAATGAAATTTCACTACCTGTGTGACTTTTCTAAGACCGCAGCATAATCCAAGGACTCAACACAACCGATATTTCAATTATCGTCATTATGCTCCTTTGTTCAACCAAGAGGTATTAGTCCATGAAGACTAATTATTAGTATCGCATTATGCGAAGAAGAAATCTAGCAGGAGGGACAAAAAGAACGTCGAGAATGGACAGATGGATGGATGTATAATTCTATTATTTCTTCAGACACGAAAGCAGGGTATCATCGCAATCTAGACTATTGGAGACCATAACCATTCATTCATGCTCCCCCCCCCTTCCACCCCTTCTCCCAGCACTAGAACGAAAAAAGAAGGAAGAAGAAGAGACAGGGTGCAATCAAATATCCGTCATGCCATCCAAGCCCCCTATCTCCCTACTAAACTGCTCGAAATCGACCCCTTGATCCTCAAACATCTGCTTTACTTTTTCGGCCGCAGCAGCTTGTCGTTCGGGGGTAAAGCCACCAGGGGCACTACTTTCGTACTGGATGAGCTCGACCCATCTGAAGAACAAACTCTCCTTGCCCATGGCCGTCAGCTTGTCCTTGAAGGCCACGACTTTTTCCCTAGCTTCCGTTTCTGACCCTTCGTCGAGCTTGGCGCAGTCCCATACAGCCCATTGGCCATTATCGCGCTCCGCATCGCCAACGTACACGAAGACGCTTTTGCGGACGTGGTCGAGGGTTATGTCTTTGCGGTCGAGGAGCTGTGTCGCAGCCACCATACCGAAGAAATCGAGATCGAAATCGGCGTCCATGAGCATATACCCTGTTTTCTCGCGGAGCCGCTGCTTATCCACTGCGGGCAAGATGCGCGTCTTGAAAAACGGGCTTTCGCCTCCTCTGCGCCCGCTGCTTCCCTCCGCCTCACCCAGCAGATCTTTCGCACTCCACCCCCTACTCACCCTTACATAGATCTCCTGATCTCTAAACCCAACGTTCCAGCGCCAACTAACAGGGTTGCCGGGCTGCTCAACGAAGAAACTCCAGGGCCATGGTCCCACGATGCGGAAAAGGAAAAAGTCGAAGAGGAACAAGAGCATGCGTCTTCCGACTTTCCAGAGCAGCGAGCCCCACGTGTTGGAGGCCCAGTATATGGTTGTGTGGTTGGCTTGTCCGAGGACGGATTTGACAATGTCGAGGTAGTGGGGACCGATGGTGTATAGGCGCCATAGTAGGACCAACACGAAGCTGGCGTTGAGCAGGAGGGGCACGATGAAGATGCGGCGTTTGAACCATGCGGGGTGGGGGTCCACGTGTGTTACGTAGACGAGTGAACGGTCGAAGGTGTAGAGGAGGTTTTCGAGCGCCGGGGGTGTGGGTGTAAAGGGCGGTGGGATGGCCTTTTTGGCGACGTTGTTGGTCTGTTTGCCCGCGCGCGGCTTGGCTTTGGGCGGCATTGCGAGTGTGTAATGGGGCGGTCCGAGGGCTAGCTGTGCGGTGCCGGTAGCATTGGTGATGGCAGAGGAGGATTGTTGTTGGTGTTCGTTGTCAGGTCTAACGGACGAAAGTTGTAGGTCTCAAGCGTCATTCCGATGGGTTTCACCGTGCCGAAAATCTGGGGTAAGTAGAAAGGACATGCATGCTGCATCCATTGGCAAGGCGATGGGTGGGAAGCGGCGTGTTTGACATGATGCCTTGGGCTGGTCCTTCTTGCAAGGTGTGTGGCCTTGGAGAGATGAGTTTTTTACTTGTTGATTCCGGTCATGCTTTGCAGGCACAGACACAATGGCATATATCAAGCATTCCGCATCTACACCATGATGCTCCGTGACGCCGAACAAGCAAAGTCGGCGCCGGCCATGCGAGGGCCGATACAAGCGTCATTGGTCGGCAATCATATACCGTTTCCACCGATCTCTCACCACTTCCCTCCACTCAACGTCTAGTAAGCGACAGAAGCAGATCTCCGGCTTCACTGAGGAGACCCGGGCACCACCGTCGTCAGGCCGTCGATAACGTCAAGAGAGACAACTGCCGTGTTTGGCGTATTTGCTAGGCGCTGTTACACAACCGCAAGTGTGCTCGTAATGTCCAAGACCCAAGGGGCCTTCGCCGAGAGCGAATTTCCCGTATAGGAGAGCAAAATGAAGGGCAATGTTATTCATCAAAGAAAAGCACGTTGCCCTAAGAAACGGTCCTCGGAAGGGCAACCAATCTTGGCCCTCTAGATCGACGCGTCTATCTCTGTCTTTGCACACCACGAGCGCGGAACGCATTTACCATTGAGCAGCCAATGCCACTGCGGCTTTGAGCTGTGCTACCATGGCCGAGCTGAGCTAACAATGGGGCCGCATATACGTGCATGGAACCGCTGCCCCCTCTAATTCAGACTAATTACAGAGTCGTCACGATTGTACACGCTGGTCATGCGTTTTGCTTATGTATGACCGTCGGGCCCCTTGGTCTAAGCCATTGCCAACTATGATTTGAGCCCCAGCAGTCGTGCGGCCATCCAAGTGTGTGCACCTGATATACGCTATCTAGTCCCGTTCCCTTTGTCGAGAGAAAGCCGTGTTGGCTTTCCCTTGATCTTGTACATCCTTGACTTTGGACTTTCTGCGCGCTCCTACTACTAACAAACAGTGAAGTATGTCTTCGCAACAAGGAGCACATGGTCCTCCGGTATGTATGGTAGAATGTGAAAATATGAAACGCGTAGCTAATGTCCAAACAGGATAGCGTAGCGACTGGCAAAGGTCCCCCATATGCTCCTCGCGATGCTGGGTTAGGCGGATCGCCTGACATCCTGCCTGATGTCCCCGTCGCAGTCATTTTCCTCGTTTTCTATCTAGTATTTGGTGTTATTCACATTAAAATCTTTAAAAGTAATAAGCATCGCGGCCACAAGTTCATCTTCAATGGCGCCATCTTGGGTAAGCTATCTTGACCATCACCACGACACACTGACGACTTACGCGCCACAGGTCTTTGTAAAATTCGAATCATCACCATGGTCTTACGTATCGCATGGGCAAATTACCCTAGAGATGTCGGCCTTGCTATCGCGGCAAATATTTTTACTTATGTCGGCACCATCATTTTGTACATGGTCAACTGGTTCTTCGCTCAACGTATCATCCGCGCCCAACACCCCAGTCTAGGATGGTCAACACAGTACCGCCTCTTCCATAGAGGTGGGCTTGTCCTTTTGGTTTTCACCTTGCTCGGTCTCATCGTAAGCCAAATCTGGAAATTCTTCACTCTTACACACTTGAAGCAAGATGCCTTCCGAGTCCTCTTCCTGGTCGCCCAGACATATGCCACGACTTTTTGTTTCGCGCCCGCCGTTCTAGTCGCTCTCTCGCTTCTCATCCCGCGTACCGAGGTTGAAAAGTTTGGCGCTGGCCGACTACGGTACAATATTACGATCCTCGTCATCTCGGTATGCATACTGTCGGTCGGACAAGTGTTCCGTTGCGTTTTGGCCTGGATCCCGCCAACCTTGATGATCGATGTTCAACGCGGAAATGTGGAGATACCTTGGTATCTGTCCAAGGCTAGCTTCTACTGCTTCAACTTCCTTACTGAAATTCTAGTGGTCATGCTGTTTGCCGTCGTCCGCGTCGATCTGCGCTTCTACATACCGAACGGAGCAAACAAGGAAGGAGACTATTCTAGGAGTCGCCTTGATTTCCATAACGACGATGAGAAGACTCCGGTTGAAGAAAATTGCACAAAAGAACCCATGATCCATCACAATGATTCGAACCAGACGTTGCACCGGTACCAGTCTTCTGTGTTTGAGGATACCCAGACACTTGCCGACTCGTTACGATATCCGCACTCGACTCTAGAAGTTGACGAAAAGACTGGCAGCTGGAAAGTGAAACGCCTTTCGACAGATTCAGGAAGAGATCTACATGGTGCAACGCTAGCGTCTAAATCAGCTCTACATTCAGGTCCCTCAAAGTCAACGCTAAACACGACCGCATCCGGGAGCACATCAAGCGACAGGAACTTCCGCTCAAATAACAGTACACCTCCAGTTCCAGAACTTCCAGCCGAATGGCCACTGCCCGATGCTATGCCACCACAGGGCACAAGTCCTGTTTTAGAGCATCCAAATATGGTATCCCACAAGGTGGTAACTCGGAAACAAACCTTTGAGCTGGAGAACCATGAGCTGAACAATGTCGACGTTGGCGATGCAGTTACGGATGCATTGGCGAGGCTAGAAATGAACAGTGACAGGAAAAAGGCCAAAGCACCCATGAAGCCAGCACTCGCTCACTACCGGACTAAGACGCCCATCCCAGCATACAAACC